GGAAAGAAAGGGCTATGATCTGGTGTTTGATTTAATTATGATACACAGAGGAATTATAATCTGTATTAATTGTTTTTAATTATTTATTAGATAACGATAATTTCATATGTTATTCATTGTGTTCTAAACGTAATATATTTATATATTTAATAAAATTCTTAATATAAATATAATGTTTAAGCAAAAATTACTACCTTCAGTTGCCTCGTACCTGAGATTCTAGCTCCGCCCTTACAAGAGGAAAATAAGAATTGAAAGGTACTCACTTACACATAATTGTGTACATTATTCAAGATTTGGTAACATGAAAAAATGATGTGATTTGATTAAATTGCACTATAATGTAAAATTATTGATTTAAACTTAAATAATAATTTTATTTCCTAGTTGCAACTAAAAAATAGTACATAGTATTAATTGCAATATATTAGTACTTAGTAGCATTTAACTCATTAATTAAAATAATATTAGTTCGGTTCCTCTACAATCTCCAGGAAGGTGATATTCTAATTATATTAAGATGGGATCATAATCCCTTTAAATTATAGATCTGACATCTACAAACCTTGACCAATTGAATCGATTATTGTCACTAACTCACAATTTCTAAGATTTACCCCTAAATTCGTGGCTTATTTTTTTACATATTAGAAATGGGAATCGTATCTGCATTGGTCAAATATATATTACTTTTTCTATTTTAATTTATGTGATACAGTCGTAATTCAGAGAAATCATCCTAAGTTTATTATGATTTTTAAAATTTTCAAGTTATTAATCATAGTGATTTATAGTGTTTTTTTATATAATTTTCAATAATATATATTACTTCGTATGTATCAATTTACATGGGTCAAATAAAATTTCAAGAGTCGATCAAATTTTATTTCTTTCAAATATTTTAAGTTGTTTATTATTGTGATTTATAGTGTTGTTTTAGGTCAATTTCAAATTATATATGTTGCTTTTTATGTCCTAGTTTAGGTGATATCGATAGAATTTCGAGAATCAATTAAATAAATTTATGTCTTTTAGGATTAGAATATTTAAGCTGTTAATTCTCGTAGTTTAAAGAATTTTCTTAACGAAATATTTAAATATTTAAAATACTAAAATATTCAAAAAAATATATTACAATGAAATTGTACAAAAATAATAGAAATATCCTTGGTAGAAGCAGACGCGTCGAATGAGAGGTGTTCGCTTCTAGATTTTTGTATATAATAAAAATCTATTTTCAAACTCCGTCTAAGTAAGTATTATCGTATTATCAATTTCAATTTTGATAAAAAAAATTAAATTAATGTTGAGCTAACAATTAATGCGACAAATCCTCGTAATATACTTCATGTCCATCAATAGTTGTCCACTATTAACTTGGCGCACCCCTTAAGAAACTATAAATAGAAGGATAATTTTACTATATAATATAGTAATAAATACATCATCTTGAAAAATATAATAGAAAAATGACTATAATTAATGATAAGGGTAAATTAGAAATTAAGTGTAAAATTATCCATGAATTTTATAAAGTAGACAAGTATTGTTATACATATTTTTAATATAATAGTCAAATATTGATGAACGGATGGAGTAAATAGCACTTAAATATGTCCACCTAATCACGTATCACATCGACGCCCGAATATAATGTGGGTAACAAATAATATCATATCAACAGTCAACACTCAAATAATGCAAAATAATATAATGATATAAATTAAGCTAACTACCGATCTGATAATTGTTGTAATCACATATTTTTTCAAAAATATTTTTGTAGTATTTTTTTTTATCTCTGACATTGTATTTAACATATGTAGTACTCTACATATTTGATGCTTTAATATATTTTTGACACTCCTCAACTTTAACCATATATTTTCGATCAAATTTGAAAATTTATTGAACTATAAAGTTTAGATCAAATTTTGAAAACTCATCTTCAAAAACTTTAAAATTTTCACTCACAATTTTTTAAAAAAAAAATCAAGTAAAATGCATATTTAAACGTAACTTTAAAAACTTAAATTTTAAGTTTCAACTTTAATAGTGTCTATGATCAAACAGAATTTTAAAGTTTTTCATTCTTGTAGTTAATTAAACAATAACTACAACTGACTTTTATTTACCAAACACATTTTATTTTTCTTTAAAAATCTTATTAACTATCTAAACTTTCTATCTTATTATCGAAATCTGATTATCCATGTACCCTAATTTTGAGAACAAATAAAATATTTTGTTTTGTTTCTGAACACAAAAGTGAAACGGGCGAGAGAGTGGCAGTAGTAATTGGGCCATTTGTACAAAAGATTCGACTTCAGGCCCCTTAAAGAATCGACCAATTTCATCATCAAAACTGTCAGCATCTTCAATAAAATAATATATCTCACCACTCACCAGTATACAGCCATAACTAGCTCAGTCATACCCGTGACCCCCATTTTTGCCCCCTTCCACTAAACTCTACACCTACAATAAATTAACATTAAAATCATCACCAGAAGAAACCCCATTTCATTATTCTACTCTTTATAGCACTTTCTTGTGTTGAATGAACAAAAACAAGTTGATATACATGTTTTGAGGTTGAGTTTGTATACAGTGAAAAATGACTATGAGTTCGAGTTCATTTATGAGGCAACTGAGTGGGAAAGAAGGGTGGAAATCGACGTCGAAGAGATGGGGTGGTGGGGGTGGAGGAAATTGGAAGCAAATGGAAGCTGGATTTAACAATATGTGTGGAGGAGGAAATGGGTATAATGGTGGGTTGGTTATGAGGAAGAGAGTAATGGTGGTGGTGGATCAAAGTTCACATACAAAGCATGCTATGATGTGGGCTCTTACACATGTTACTAATAAAGGAGATATACTCACACTTCTTCACATTGTACCTCATTCTTCGTCTTCATCTTCTTCTCATTGTGCTAATAATAAGGGCTTTTCTTCTGATTCATCTTCTTCATCTGCTGCTCATCTTGCTAGTTCCCTTGGATCTCTGTGCAAGGCTTGTAAACCTGAAGTAAGTTCCGCTGGTACACCTTTTTGGGTTTCTTCTCATTATGCGCTCAAATTGCATTTGTCATTCTGCAGATATTATGCATCTGTTCTTTGTTTTTCTTTGCCTATATATTTTTTCATATATATAAACGAAAATGTTTTCATATGCACGCTAAAGCATCCTTTAAGGGCAGCCATTTCTGTGAAAGGATGAAGGTTTTTCCATCGTTTATTTTCCGGTGGTTACGCGGAGTTAAGAAGGGTTCAGGGTTCATCTGAACTACCTTGACGGAAAATTACACTATTTTTTTAATGTTACATTGCAGAAGCTGAAGCTCTTCGACTTCTTCATGTGTTTATTTTTTTAAATATTTTTCGTGAAAATTTCTAGCTTCACCGCTGTTTGGGCTTCTCCACGCCTCTTTCGTGCTCACTGTTCAATGTATTTTCTGTTCCTTTCAGATGCACGCAATAATAAAGAGAGGGGAAATCATTACTAGTGACAGTTTCTTCTTTTCCTTTTCAGAGTTTTCAGATCTTTTTTTTTTTTGCTCTCAACCAAACAAAATTGCAGTAGAACTAATAATTTCGTTGACTGGCTTTTACATTTCCCTATTTTTTATTTTCCCATAAACCAAACAAATTCATTTTTAGCATTTATGACCTTATTGACTTTTTGTTCTAAGGTTGAAGTGGAAGCACTAGTAATACAAGGACCAAAAATGGCAACAGTAATGAGCCAAGTGAAGAAGCTGGAGGTGTCTGTGTTAGTCTTGGGTCAGAAAAAACCCTCTTCTCTATTTAGCTGGTAACTACATTTTTCATATTTCTTAAATTTCGTGTTCAGTCAAACTACGAGGATTTTTCCATTTGATTAATTTTGCAACTCTGGTACTACTACTCTACAGTCTGTGTGGGAGGAGCAGTGAAGAGGAATTTGTGGAACAATGCATCAACACATTGGATTGTTTGACAATAGGAGTAAGGAAGCAAAGCCAGGGCATGGGAGGATACCTTATCAGCACTAGATGGCAGAAGAATTTCTGGCTCTTGGCCTAAGTTTTTAATTTAGTTTAGGAATTATATTACTCACTATAATATGGATAATAATTTGTGTAGAGAGCTTTCAGTACTAGTATTTCCTATGTAGCATTCCCTAAAAAACAAAAAATTACTCTTCTGGTGTGTAATTTTATATATATAAATATATCTAAATGCTAACTGAGAAGTTGTTATTTGTGCTAAATACAATTCTTGTGTTGTGGAGTATATGTTTCCCCTATTTCTATCAGCTAATTAACCAAATTGTTATGTACCTTTGTTTATGCTCCTTACTTAAAATGCTTGTATCATGCTTTAGCTAAATGGCATGCCTGTTTGGTAAACAAATAATTCTGAATCTCTTGGCTGAATACTTAACACAGTATATGAGACAGTTATAGATAGGTTTATTTGGATGAAGGTAAAAGGGCATTTTAGGGTGTGTTTGGTGTGAAGACCCAACACCCGCTCCCAACTTCGACATGGGACCTAACTCCTGAACTCAACTCTCTATCCCGACCCCAACCTAGGACACGACTTTTGATCTCGACTTGGGACTCAACTACTTGATTCTACCCCAACTTCATTGGCCCCTAATTCTTAACACCTAAGAGTCATTCTTCCTTGTGTATGGCAAGAGTGGGCATATTGCTCATTTTGGTATATCATATATGGGCTGGTCAAGTTTGAATCAAGTCAAAATGGTTAGACTTAAATCATAAAAAGTAGGTAGTCCAAGAAGCAGAAGGCCCAGAACAAACATCGGTCTAATAACAATGATCCACACCAGAAGTTGAGGTTGAGTGATCTATTTGCAAATTTTGCTTCTATAATTAAAAAGGTGTTATATCTAGCTTCAGAAAGATACATACAGTAAAAAGCTGTGGGCAACATTAGAACCCAAATACTAGCCAATTTGGAGTGTGGATGAAAGGCAAATAAAAGATTTGGTGTCGGAAGTATCTAAATGGTACATTAGACAAAAGTGAAATGAAACATTTCTGTGTAATTCTCTTCTATAGGCAAAATAAAAACCAAATCTAGCAGCAGGGGATGAAGGTAAAATAAATAAGTTAAATAAGAAATTCTCAATTCGATTTACCTAAACAGTAATTAGACAACAATGAACGGTTCGTTTCTTCTATACCAAACTTTTAGCCAGTTCATGTTTCGAGTACACCCAACATTAGACTTTATCCTCTAACTTCTCGTTTACTAGAGGGACAAACTCCATACTTTTTCTGGGGGTTCGAGGTGTACGGGGAGTGCCGGGTGTTTGTTGTGAGAGCATGTGCCTCACGTACCCATAGAATGTACATCCGACAAGTGTTATAGCACATCCAACTGCATTCATCATTGAGATTGGGTTTCGAAAGATAAGCCACGAACAAGTTACAGCAACGGCAACCTGCAAAGGTAATGAATCAAAATAAATCAAATGCAGAACTTCATAAATAAGAAATTAACACATCTAGATGTTGTTGTGACTAATTATAATAAGGAATAGAGTGACTATCATAAAACAGAAGTGGACAAGTTAGGTGGGTAACTCGTGTTTGAAATGGTTCAGATTTAGCTGTGCACTCATAAGAGAGATTTGTTTGTATTGTCTTATTTCACATGCTATCAAGGCTATCTAAACATTAGCTTAATTTGAGAACATCAATCTGTAATTTCAACTTTCATATGTTGAAGTAATGAATCAAATATTTAGTTTGTCAACATCTGATTAAGCGTTAAGATCAGTTAAAAGCAAAATCTTATCAGATATGCTCACGTTGATTGATGAGATAATTTGGCACATGTATAGAATGCATATTTATTCACGATGAGATCTATAAATTTGTGTTGCTTAACAATGTTAAGGCACCAAACCACTGAAATGCAATTGAACATGCCTAATCAATTGAGCTAACATATACCAAATTATTAGAAGTGTAAAATCACCGACCACAAAAATTGTTGGCTCTGTATGCATGATTACCAGATAATATATACAGCATTATTTTCATAACCATAGGCATTAGTAAACAAACTAAAAGCATCTCCCGTACCTTAAGGTTTCCAGCAACATTAAAGGTGACTGCAGTGGTAGAGTGAATGACGTAGAAGATAGAGAAATTGAGGCAGAAAGCCAACACACCAGAGCCAAAAATAATACAGAAGGATGAAAGAAATGGAGGATCCGTCTGTAGCCATGCCACTACTCCAGAGCCTTCCAGTAGTAAGGCTGGTAGCGCCAAGATCATTGTGGCAAAAGGTGCCATATAATATACCGTGTTTATGCTACAAAACATAAAAGTAATTCAACATTACGTGTAAAAATAATATTGCCATAATTAAAATCAGTGTCCAAAATAATACAATAATTTTGTTGATTATGAACACATACACAACTTTATCTCGGGAGCACATACGATCTTTTTCATAGGATTTCTGGAAAGATGAGGATTTAGGTTTAGGAGCACACACCTATATTCCATATGAATAGGAATATGAAACTTGAAAATAAACTATCACGATGGAAATGGATACAAAAGCTGCCGATGATTCTAGTTCTAAAGATAAATGAAACACATAAATTAAGAATAACTGCAGACTCCCTGGTCTTTCCCTCGCAACTTTAAATTATAATCTTAAGTATTGTTATCATCAGTACAAATATTATCCTCAAAAGGGCTAGTAAAATAGACTAAGATGAGCAAATTGGATGAATTTGAGGGGAAAAAAGAAAAGAAAAATCAAGAGCTTGAGTTCCTTTGTTGTTCCTTTTTATTTAATTTTCTTTTTCCTTGTAAAGGCAACATAATTTCTCTGATTATGCATTTCAAATTTTTATCCTGAGTTGTTTCACTCTAAATTATGGCCTAAACTGGCCATAGAACCTATATCTTTGGTTCGAAACCAGATAGGAGGGAGTAAAATAGTTCTCTCCTCCTTTTAGCTTCTTCACTATTTTGTGATGATATGCCAAGGTAAAACCATCAACAAGGTGATGAACCCTGCAGAGGAATTATCATATTTAACTCTTCTTTCATGCTGACAATTAAGCTAGCAGGAACCACAGGAATCCTCACCTAAGCTGGTGGAAAAGGAAGTTAAAACTTGTTGCAAACCTCCTCTCACCCCAACCTTCTTAGCAAGCAAAACAAAGGGGGAAAGTACGTATATGAGAGAGAGAGAGATTGGGTGGGGTGGGGGGGTGGGGGGGGTTACTACCTGTCAAATTTGTAACCATGCAGTAGAGACTCTGCAAGGATAGTCTTTGTCGATGTAGCCAGACAACCAAATAAGGCAGCACAAAATCCAAACGTGTTGAAACTTAGCTCTGTGATGGAGGTGAGGAGAATTCCTCCAACAATAGGTATCAAAGATGCCCAAATCCTCAAGTCAAAGTGCTTGCTCCAAACTAGCCACTGCAAAATAACTGTTACAAAGACATGGCAGTCAGATGTCCTCCATTGTTAAAGGAGAAAGAATTGAAAAAGCAGCACAATGAGATTAAAGAGTTTGTTAGTTGACTTGACAAAGAATAACACTAATCCATATCCCGAAACATATAAGCACACAGATGAAGATAAGGTCATGAAGAATTGCTAAGATGTTTTGTTGTGTGCTATTACATCCTTCGCAACAAGCTTGTCTCATAAATTCTCTATTACTCCCTCTATTTGAATTTGTTTGTCTTACTTTCCTTTTTAATCCATTTCAAAAAGAATGTCTCTTTCCTTTTTTGACAACTCTTTAATTTAAACTTTCCACATCGCATGTTTAAGACCACAAGATTAAAGGAAATTTTGGTACATTCTACATATCTTTAGCTTTTTTTTTTTTAAAACTGGTAACATTTGTATTTAAGATCTGCTTAGGTGGTACTGAAAAAACACATTTACAAATAAGTATAAAGGAAGTATAATCTACCCCAAAGCCGAACCAAATCTAAATGGACCCTAAAACATCTATAATTGACTCAGTTTAATTGGAGTAGACATTTGTACACCAAAAACAGAACAACACAATACACTTAAGCTTGACTTCATGCAGGTTGTTGTTCCTATATATCTTTAGTATACATAGCATTCTACATACCTTTGTTCCTATATATCTTTAGTACTCTACATATCTTTAATTTAAGACCACAAATTCAAAAGTTTTTTTTACTTTCTTAAACTCTGTGTCAAGTCAAAACAAGACAATCCAATTGAAACGAAGGGAGTAATAAAATATAAAAGTTCTACCCAAAAATCACCTGTAGTTGCAGGGGTGAATGACTTTATCGTTTGCATAAATGAAACAGGGATGTAGCGCAGACTGACATTGCCCAGCACTATGTTGATACAAAACACGAACGACATGGGGAAAATCCTTCTCCAGCGATCCTCAGGGTCAACCACAATAAGAGGTTTAAGCTTTAGCACTTTAATCACCGTGTATGCGCCAATAGCTGAGCAGATAAAGTGTATGCAAGACACTGTCAAAGGAAACTTAAAATCCATTTTCTGCAAAGGTTATAAGATCAACAGAGTATTAGTTATTTGTAATAATAACTTCATACACTAAACAATGGAAGTGATAATAGAGATAACAATATCTCAAACAGCAGAAAGATAATTAAGTACAAATTATTGAACATGTAAAACATGCATCATCTCTAACTAACTTGAGATGAAGATAATTTGAATTTTATGTTATAACTTTTGGCATGGTTATAACAATGGGGAGCTTATGATAGAAACTGCCTTGGCATGTAGGAGATGTTCATCATGCAGGCTATACCTCTCTAAAATTATGTATTTCCATAACAAAGAAAAGTGGAAATATTCAGAGGAAGTATGCATTATCACAGGAAAGGCTTCTTTTCAAGTCCTTAATACCTGATTAGGAATAGTGCTTCACAACAAGCGACACAGTAAGAAGAAGGGGCAAGAAAAACAGATTGCTGCTGCTGCAGTAGAATGAGTGCATGGAGGAAGACTTCACAGTTGCATATCAGTACTACAAGATAACCATAGCCTAAAAATAATCAGAACAAAATTCACCTTTGAGACATTTGGCGTCGAATCTACAAGACCCTACCAGGACACAGGTCCAGGAGTATCATAAATACAGCAAAGAACATTCTTGAAATATCCACACTACAACATCAACTAAACCTCAATTCCAAGCTGATGGAGTCAACTACTATTGATGTAGCTCCATTTAGACTCATCCCATACCAATATACAATAATTTAGGTTCTCCAACCTAAAATTCTCTATGTTTATACCCATGTTGCTCGGACTCTCCAAAACTGATGCCACAATCGTGTCGGATTCTACAAAAAAACACTATTTTTGGAGCATCCAACATGCACCCATCACAATTTTTAGAGAGTCCGAGCAACATAGGTTTATACTGACTTGCAAATTCCCCAACGAGATTAATACTCCTAGAAATTATTGGACTAATATAGACCCTTCGGGGTGGCCCAGTGGTTTGGGCTTGGGACTTCCATGTTGGAGGTCTCAAGTTCGAAACCTCTTGCCAACGAAAGCAAGGGGTTTGCCTTTTGGGTCGAGCTCGTCGCACCGGTCTTGCCTAGTGTAGGTTACCTCTCCTATGTGGTTTGCGAGATATTGCATAGGAGCGGGGGTTTTACCCTGTGCGCACCCAAAGGGTAGCGGCTGCGGATTTCCCTTGTCATCAAAAATAAATATATATATATATATATATATATATTGGACTAATATAAGTGTGCCAACAAGACTAAGCGTATTCTCAACTAGTTGGTACCACCTATATATAGATCTTCTTTTTTTTGCGTTGTTCCCTATATTTGGCTAAAGTCTGCATGGATTCCAAGCGATTTTAAATGCTTTGAGGCAACTTCCTTCAGGGTGATTTTAGGTCTACCTCGTCCTTCTTTTAACATGTTCAATCATCATGGTTTGACATTATCAAACTGGTGCATCTCAATATTTGCATAGGACAAGATCAATCCATCTAAGCCGACAGTCTCTGATTTTATCCTTTTGATATGTTACTTGCACCTTTTGTCCAATGCAATCATTTTTAGCTTGTCTAATTTTGTATGACCGGACATGCATCTTAACATCGATAATTTTTTATTTTATTTTATTTCTGCGACACCATCTTGTGAACATGTTGGACCTTAGCGGCCCGACACTCTCTTTCAAAAATTTGTTAATGTACCAGTAGCAATGCTATCCAGGCCATTCATGAAGCAAAGGACACAGAGAAAAAGCAAACAATAACTTTAGACAGAAAATGTGCCTTTCAATTTGACTGGAGCTATTCTTCAATTTGAGGGGACAATGATTGTGGATATGATGTCAGGAAGTTCACTCCATGACTCTGCCGTGCTTATTCCTTCAGGAGGATCAGATTTTTGTATTCCATTCCGGGGGAATGTAGTATATTTAATGCATTTCTGTGTGCCTCTTTTGGTGCTAAGCCCGAAAGTGCAGCTAATATAAGGTTTACACAATTTTCTGAATCACCAGAAGAATGAGGATGGCTTGATAAAAGACAACCCTTAAGGACGCTTAATCATATCTGTCACTCTAGATGGTGTAATGTGTTTTTCCTTCTTTTAAAGTTTTAATCCTAGTCATGGTAAAATTATATACCACATTCAAGCACAAATCTCTACCAGTTAAATATTATTTGGAATCTGTTCATGAAATCATACTTTCTTTTGTTTTTACTCCCACCTCTTCCTAATATTCATCTAGAGAGAAGGATACTTTCTTTAGCAAGCAAAAAGTAGAAATTTGCAGATACGGGTCAAAAGTAGGTGGACTTTCTACCAACCACCAGCCATCACTCAAGCAAATTCATCAATAAATAAATTTCAGATAGTCCACCACACAAAAAATGCTGAGGAGATCGCTCATCAACCTAAAATTGGCAGCACTTGAAATAAGGAAAGCAAGTTCATTGCGCAATACAAACGACAAATAGAAGAATAACTTGTTTTGTAGCTAAAATTAGAAGAGATAAAGTTTGAAACTTGTTCAACAAAAGACATACAGACAAAAAAAAATATGCTAGCTACAGTTCAATCTCTACAGACAAAGACAAATTGCCAGCAAGGATCGTGCTACAATTTTCCTGTTTTGAACACCAAGGCACAACCCAAACCTAAAAACCACCTTCCCGAGTCCAAATCCCGCCCACATGATTTTTTGTTGATATCAAATTGTAATTTGAAAAAAAAAATACTTCTACCATAAGCCATAAGCTATATTGCTCGAACTCTTCAAATATGTTGAAAGATACTTGTAAAATACTCCAAAAGTAGTGCTTTTTGAAAAATACAACATGAGTGCGGCAACATTTTTTGAAATTCCGAACCATAAGTGAATGTTATTGGCATACAGAAATACAGACGGCATAATGAAATCAGATAATAACAGTGAAATTAATCAAAAAGAAAATAAAGGAAGAAATCTACATATGTAAATAGAAATACGGGAGATGTAAAGAACAAACCTGAAAGATCCACTTATTCATGATAATAACAGTGACATTAAAACCCCACCATTGAAGAATGGCGAGTACGGATCGAATCACAGTCCACTGACACAACCTGCCTTCCTCCATTTCTCTTCCTTAATAAATTACGCCTACTCTTTCACTAACTCCTTCTCTATAGCATCAATCAATCAACAACGAAGATCGATCTACAACAACAAATTGAAAGAGAGGAGACAGTGAAGCGAAAGCTAAGCTGAAAGCATAATTCGCTTTTGTGATTTCTGATTCCCAAAAACAAAATACTAAAAAAATAATGAGAACTCAGACAAGAGAGGCGTGATTTTGTTTGTTTTGAAGGTACTGGGGGAGGGGAGAGGGGTAGTGATTGTAATTTTACATCACACGCACCGTACCCGGTCCCCTCGCCTTCGCTCTATAGGAAACTATACTTTCCATAATTATTAAATGGGGAATCAGATCTCCACAAATATTAACTACTTTTCCATATTTAGCAAAATATTTATTTTTTTAAGGAAAAAATACACTTTTAAAAACTGAGAAAAATATTGTTTTATTAATGGTAATAGAAAAAACGAATTTTATAAGTAATTCTTGAATTTATTTTCTTCTTTTCAAGCCTGATCTCTTGACCATTCCACCCCTCTCCACCTTATTCTATCATGGTAATGTTTTAGTAGCTTAGGTACAAACGTTTTTGGAATATTATTTCTTTTCTTACTTATCAAATACTAAGAAATTCATTTGTTTTCGACAAAAAAAATATTGTATACCAAACACATATTAGGATCTATTTGGTCATGATTTTATTTTTTTGAAACTGTATTTAGAATTTGGAAAGCAGCCAAAATTTGTTTTCACTTTTATGAAGTTTTCTTTCTAAAATTTATCATTTTATTTATATAAAAATGATCTTATTTAAATTAAATTTTAGGTTTAAATCATATTTTATGTATTTTAGAAAAAATTATATAAATTCTAAATATTCTTTACAAAAAGTATGACCAAACATAATGTTAACTTCAACTCCAATTTTGAAAATTTTAAATAAAGTTAATTTTTTTTATTTGTTTTCATGATCAAACACCCACTATTTGTTACAGATTTTAAGTAAAATTATATATTTTGATGATAATATATCTAGCAAATAATTAAAGATGCCATGGTTAAACGCCTACTCAATTTTATTTCATAACCAAAAGTCATTCAATTATAGACATAAAAAAACTATTTTAAAATTCGTCTCACTTGATAGACCCTACTAAAATTACGTGAATTAAATATATAATTGCCAAGACTTTTTTTATTTTAAAAATGACTCATAATACTTCTCATACACGACATTTTTACATGATAGACTAGTAATGTTTGCATTAAAACATGATTTGTGAAATAGACGGGTTGATTGCAACTGCATTTAATTTCCAAAAATATTTTAGCAATATCCCAAGTTTTGGGGATCATCTTTTTTCTTTTATTTTATTAAAGTTTTCATTGATTATGCCATCAATCAAATATCAGAAGCACGACAAGTCGACAACGCATGGACCTATCAAGAGAGAGGGTCTCTATATCTATGCATTTAAATTGGATGAATGACTTTAATTAAATTATCAAGTGATTTTTTTTGTTAAAAAATATAATGTAAATTGACTTTTTAAGATAACTAGTTAACTAATTTTTAAATTATAAACTAAAATTGAGTTATTTTTAAGAAAATTATATTATTAATTAAATGACCATCTCAGATATTATCTTATTACTCCATCATAATCTTCTTAATATATTTGTGATTCATGGAGAGTTCACAAGCTAATACACTCCTTCCATTTTCCTAGCAAATTTTAAGTTTCTTTTCAACTTAAAAAGATTTTGCTTTTTCATTTGAATCCCACGATATAAAGATTTAAACTTGAGTTTGCTTTACTTTCATGGTTTGAAAGTTACTTAATGATGAATACTCTTAATTTATTAGCTGGTCTATAAAATTAGATCAAATTGATGAAATTAAATTATCTTGGTCTATGATTATCAATTCAAAATTTTGAAATCGGAAAAGGAATCTAAACTTCGAAAAATTTCTAAAAATATTTCAGAACTAATTTGTTAGAAACTGAAAGAAATAATCTTGTTGGTAAAATTTCTATCGAGTTGATATCTATCAGAAGCAACCTCTCTATCCCCATAAAGATAGAGATAAGATAACATTTATGTACATTGCACCCTCTTCCGTCTTCTCTTAAACAAACTTTTACTCCCTCTATTCAATTTTACTAGTCGCATCTTCCAAACTAAATTGAATCAAATTAATTTAAAATTTGAAAATATTGATTTAGATGATCGAAAACTATATAAAAAATATTATAGGGTGCAATTCTTTTATATTTATTCATCTTAAAATATTGATCAAAATCCATACAGCTTGATTCTCGACAAGCGAAATGTGACAACTTAAAGTAAACAAAGGGAGTAATTATTGTTTGAAAAGTATTACCTTAAGTTTTTTCAAATACTATTCCATAAACCACCTGCACGGATTAATCAAGCCTAGGAATGAAAAAGAAAACTCTAGCATAAAGCATTTTCCAGTGTTTTCAAAAACGTTTTTGGGGCGAGTCTCGGGGCGGGGCGTATCAAAAGCGCTTCGGGGTGCAAATTGAAGACGTAAATCGATAAGGCGTAAATCCTAGAATTTGGGGCGTAAGCCCCGAGCATAAAAACGTTAGTCTTGGGAGTAAACACGTACGCCCCGAGCGTTTTTTTTTGTTGTTGCTTTAAATCATATTTTTTATTATTGGTGTAATGATATTTCTCAAATAGTAATTATAATACCTTTTTTTTTTCATTATTGATTATTAATACCTATTTCAAATAAAATCATAATACTTTTTTTTTTTATATATTATAGGTTACTTGTAAAAAAAATAGTTGTAAAATCATTGGAAGTTTCACTTTTGCTTATTTTCTTAGTAAGAAAATTATAAAATTGAATATATATGAGGCTACGCTCCGTAGATCCATAGGACTTACGCCTCATATCTCGGGGCTTACACCTCACCTCGTACAACTTAAAACGCCTCATCTCACGCCTCCGCCTTTTAAAACTTGGCATTTTCCTTTAATGGATCTTACATGATGTAAATATGATGTAGTCGGAACTCAAAACAACTATCAATAGGAAACAAACAAAAAAATAAAACGATTCTCCAAACCTATTCCTAGAGTTTCAAATATAAAGACTTTAATTCCTTTCAAGTGAATTTTCTCTCTTTCTCTTCCCATTTGTAAGAAATAGCTTTTAATTTGTTGTCCAAATTTCTGTTCGAAATGTTGCATTGTAACTACCTTCTCATCAAAAGTGGGTTGTAATGTGGTGGTGAGACGACTGCTCCATCCTAAATCAGAGGTTTCGAGTTCAAGCATCGAGTATGAACTTTTTTTTAGGTTTGGAAGTGTAGCCAAATGTGTCCTGCAATGGCAATCCAAATTTAGTCGAAATTTTAATGTGAATTTCAACACCGAATGATAAATATAAATTAAAAAAAAAACTACCTTCTCACGCCATCAGGCTTCTTTAGCAGCAAGAGGCCCGCCTAAAAACACACACACCATATTGCACGCCTATATGGCCCAATTAACGTGGAGAGTTGGGCACGCTCCCATTACAAACGATCCTTTTTGACTTCTCATTGTAACTTGTACTATTGGGGAAAAAAATTAACTTTTTAAATTTCTTGGCCTCTAATTTAGGTGAAATGCCATGTTCATTCATATCACCCTTTTGTAAATATTACTCTTATTTAATTTTCGTACTTGAAATGAGATCTAGTTTAAATGGTATGTTCTTGGGTATTTGGATTGTTTGTAACTAATTTTTTTTACATTGATCATCAAAGTAACTAGTACATGTTTAGCACAATAGCTAGGATTAAAGCATTTACAAGTGGATACATTAAATCAAAGGCTTTATTGTAGTAGTTGTTGTAGTTAGGGTGGGCATTTGGGTCATTCAGATTGGATATGAAAATTTATGTTTAGATTTTTTATTTACAATTTAAATAAGGTCGGATAGGATTTGTTCTGTTCATTTTTGGATTAATAGGCTTAAATATATCTTAATTTTAATTTTGAATTTTTAAGGTATATCATTAATGGTCTGAATTTACCTAATATATAATTTAATCATGTATGCATGACTATATAAAGCTTAAACTTGAGAAAAAATATAAAAAGATATTAACTGAGTTTGCTAGATTTGTTGTGTTTTTATGAATTGTTGATTGCGTTTTATTAAATATGATACATGAAATTTATATATCAAAGCTGAGTTTATTTAGAGTATATTTAAGTATTGAATCATGTGTTGAATCGTTGAAATTCGAAAAACAAATCATTACTTCAGTATTGTTTTTGTTCATATGCACATGTCTGGTCAACATATTTTTATTTGTATATCAGTCATCAATAACTAATGTGCAAACATACAAGAAAAAAATGCAGACATACATGACTGAAAGTTTAATCAGTTTTTGTATACACCCCAGTAAAAAATATTTAACTTTTACCTTTTCAGGTCATACTCGCCCTGCAGTGTGATTCAGATTTAATCGGAGCTTCAATGCAAACTCTGGACACCGGGTGAGAAACCAACCTAATATTTTGGCTTAAGAATACTTCTCAAACTAACACGTTAAAAGGGGAAGACGTTTTTTACCCTTCCCCCCTGACTTTCATTTAATAGTTAATTTTATCATCCGTTATACTATCCGACCATTTATACCCCTATCATGCTAAACTTACCATCCATACTCCTCAACTGAATGGTTTCCCCCAAATTAACCAAAATTACCCGTTTCCCCTTAAAATTAACAATTTATCTGCATATCTCCTTGAGAAAATTGTGTGACTTATCACAATTGGCTACATATATTCTTTAATATAAAAATAATCCATCCACTTTTAATACACGATCATGTTAGCACATGTAAACTTATTGAAATTTAATTTGAGAAATACCTTTTGAAGCAGGAGCAAATATCCTCAAGCAAACTCGCAAATCCGACTTTAGTTATGCAACTTTCTTCAATGATATCAAATCAACCATCGAATTTTTTCAATATTTGGGTGGGCAAAAACTGTACAAAAAAACTTATACCTTCTTCATGTCTGAAAGAATTCTATATACAATTTTTTCCCAATCCATAACCTAGATAAAAATCTTTCTTATCAAGAAATAAGATTTTAATTCCTAATTAAATATGCTCACAATATGGACCCAAAAATAATTAATGAGGATCTCTATTTTGTAGATAATTTGAAAATCTGATTTAAATTA